TTGAATATTAGGGAAAATTTCTTCACAGAAAGGGTTGTCCAGCACTGGCATAGACTGCCCAGGGCAGTGTTGGAGTCACCAACCCTGTAAGAGTTCAAAAAACATGTGGATGTTGCACCTGGGGACATGGTTCAGTGGCGGCCTTGGCAGTGCTGGAATAAGAGTTGGATGCGATGATCTTAGAGTGCCTTTCCAACCTTAACAATTCTTTGATGGCCTGGGAATGTGAGGCTGGTGCTGCCCTGGGCGACCTTTGGAAGGGGCCAAAGTGCCACTTGGGCTGGTGGCTTCCCTGCTGCTGCCAGCTGGACAACAAAACAGGACAAGGCTGGGGCTCAGCTCTCCTTCGGGGCATCTCAGCGGACTGACAGCACACGTGTCTCTGCTCTCCAGCCCCAAGGCACCTCCCAGCCCCAAGGCAGGCAGCAGACACAGGTGGGGATGCAGAGCCAGACACTGATGGACAGCGGGACCCACCCTGCGCCAAAGGGAACACTTTGAGAACTTATTTTCCTCACCGTGAGCTTATTCCAGAATAATTGGCTGCACTTAAGTTCATGTGTCAGCAACCTTTTCCTCGCCACCACATCCATTAGACCTGCCCCGAGCCGACCACAACCTGAAAGGTGGCAGTGGGGGACCTCCATTAGGAGCTCGGGCAGAGCTTTACCTCTGGTCCATTAGACACCGACCCCTGTGCAGAGCAGGCGTTTGCGGGAGGTGACGCATCCCAAAACAGGCAGAGGGGGAAGCGGGGGAGGTGCTGCCACTCACGGAGCAGGAACAGCACTGACCGTTTCTCGGGGCTGCAGTCCTTGGTGGCACACGGCACATGTCCCGGCAGAGCTCATCCCAGGGACCCGGTGAGGCTGTACCTCCCTTGCTGGTAATCACTGCAGCGTGGCTCCTCAAACCGGATTGCTTCTTTTCGGGCGTGAGAGTGTCCAGGTGCCACGACCTGTCACCTTCAGGGCACGCTGAGCCTCCTCATCCCCACTCCAGCCCCTTTGCAGCTCGCTCTCCCGCCCACCTGGCCAGCGGCACAAAGCAGGAGGGAAGAGGGAAAGCTGGAGGCTTTGCAGGGCACGGGGACGTCCCAGGGGAGCCTGAGAGGATGCCAGCAGTGCCTGTGGGTTGAGGCATTAGGGCTGCAGAGCTGGCAACAGAGACAGGAAAAGTACAGGCAGAGCGGGGCTGGGCAGCGCTGGCAGCCGGCGCTGCGGGAGCGGCACTGCTGATGCAGCAGAAGGTGCCTTGGCGGGCGGCTGGGATGGATACGGGGAGGGGATGGATACAGGGAGGGGATGGATACACAGAGGTGATGGATGCAGTGAGGGGATGGATGCAGAGAGGTGAGCGGAGCTGCAGGCACGGGTGACCAGGCAGGCACTGTGCCAAGGCTGGAGGAGGAGCACTGCGTTTGCTGGAGCATCACAAATTGTGAGAGGGGAGGCGGAGAGGTCTGAAGGGGTGAAGGGATGCCTGTTACCCCTGCAAATGGTGCCTGTCATGGTGGCTGCTGGGGCCGGAGTCACAGGTGCAGGTGAGTCTAAGGCTGGAATCTCCATTATCCAGTGAGCAAGACCACAGAGACCTGCAGCACTGGGGACCTGGAACAGCAGCACCCTTACCCTGGTGCAGGGAAAGGCCACTAGGTGTGAAGAACCCCCTCCTGGGATGCTCACCTGTCTGCAAAGTTTGCTTCCAAGATGATGGGTCAAGTTAGGATGCATCTGGCCGAGCTGTCATTTAGGAATCCCGCCAGCAGAGCCCTAAATCTGTTTGGAGGCAGGAAGGTTGGGAATAGCAGCACTGCCTGGCTGCAAGGGTTGGCCACTGAATACAAAAGAGCTCCTGTGAGCACTGGCACAAACGGGGCGCGCTGGGGAGGTGTGTACCCAGTTATTCCGTGCTGACACACTCCTGCAGCCACACTTCCCTGCTGAGCATCTCTGCAGAGGTGGCAGCCCCGGTGCCCCACTGCCCGCTGCCCTGCACGCCCAGGGCCAGCTGTGCCTACACGGCCCAGGGCTCGGAGTGGGATGCTGGCTGTCACCAGAGCCTGATGGAGCTGTCACACTTGGCAGTTCCAGCCGCTCTCCCCGGCTGACTGATCTCGTGAGACATCTGCCACTGCCGCGGGCCGGGAAAGGCTCTGCTCTCCCACAGCCCGGCCCCGGCGAGCGGAGCCACGGCCGGGAAGGGCACTCCCAGCAGCTGGCCCTGGGATTTTGGCACTGTGCTGATGTCCAGCATGGGACCCGGCATTCCTGCGGCTCAGCGGAAACTTGTTCTGCTGAGTCCAGCACCAGGATACTGTGTCTGCTTCCAGGGAAGCTGAGCACCCTCTGCTCGGACGCTGTCACCTCCCTGGGGGACAGGAAGGAGGGCTCAGGGGTGCTGCCAGCTGGCTCACAGCCTGTGGGAGGGGGTCACAGTGGCTGTCCACGTACCTTCAGTCCCTCTCACCTTGCGCTGCTGGAGCTCGAGGGTTAAAATGCCAGGCTGCTGCTCTCCGAGGAGGGCTCCTGTCTCCCTCCACCCTGTCTCCCTCCACGTGGGTACTGACCAGGTAGGGCTGAGCAGAGCAGTTGGGCTGCAGCCTCCCAGCTCAATGCAGCAGGCGCAGCGCTGGCCCCGGCTGCCCTGGAGCATCCTGCCAGGGGCTGCCCCAGGAGGACAGTCCCAGCCCCCTCCCAGAGCTCCCCGAGCCAGAGGATGCTGAGCTCCCAGACCTGGAGCAGGCAGAGCCAGAGGAGGAGGAGGAGGTGGCAACGCTGGAACAGAGCTTCCCATCAGCACCTTATATTTACTGCAAGGTCCTCTGGCTGTGACCTTTAAAAGACAAGGTGGCCTGGCAGCCCAGGAGCTGGCAGTGGGCAGGAGGCACCCGCAGGGATCAGACTCTGCAGGACTGTCCTGGCTGGGACGGACACACCGGGCTGGGAGCTGAGAGGTCCCGGGCAAAGACTGCGGTGAGTACCTGGCTGCCTTTGTCATTCCAGCTCTCCCCTGCCTGCAGCTCTCCCTCGGAACAATGCTTTCCCCTCTCCCTGCATCCTTCTCCCTGCCAGCGCTGTGCTGCCCGCTGCCTCCTCGCCCCTGCCAGCAGAGCCGGCTGCCTCCAGAGGTGCACAGGTTCCTCACCCCCTTTCACGGGCCCTATAACAAGCAGGGAAAGAGCAGCAGTGTCCCTCGGCAGCCACTGCAGAGGCATCTGCAAGAATCGCTGAGGTAACCCTCCTGTGTCCCAGGAGAAAGTTTCTTCTGATCCGACACAGCCTGAGGCCACCTCCACTGAACCCTCCCCACTCCATCTCTTCAGGGCTGCCCTTCACACCCCTCAGCACCCCGGAGCTCACAGTCCCAAGCTGTCCCCTTCCCAGGTCCCCTTCTCCCAGCCCCAGGAGCAGGGCAGCATCCCAGGGAGAGTGCCTCTGGGCTCCCTCTGAGGCTGCCCAGCAGTCCCCCGCGACTCTCTGCCCAGCACCAGGCAGAGTTCCCCCTCACCTCCCAACCCTTCTCTTGCTCTTTAACACCTGTAATCCCACCTGGTCCAAGGAAATTGTAGTGCTCTCTAAAAGGGACTGTCCCTGGTTCTGGAGAAGCACTGGGGGGTTGCAGTCACTGCCCTTGGTCCCCTGTGGTGATGAGAACTCACCCTTTTCATGTCCCACGGGGTCTCCTCTGTGATCCCACTGTGCTCGTCTTCCTCACCAGTTTTTTTTGCCAGCAACATTCCAAGAGGTGTCCTGAAAGCACCAAGCTGTGGGTCCCCCATCCCCTTTGCCTGTGGCTGACCCCCCAGAGCTGGGTGTGGTGATAACCCCGTGCTGTCCTCTGGGGAGCTGCTCCTCACTGCACAGCCAAGTTGTTCCCTGCCGTGGGCCAGGTATCAATTGGCTGCACCCCCCGGCACCAGCCCAGCACTGCAGGACTGTGTCAGCAGGACAGGGGAGGTGATTTGGGTGCCCTTCCTGAGGGAGGGAGAGGTGCTGTGGGGAGGTGGGAGTTTTCCGCAGCGCTGACCCCACGGCCGGGCACAGGGCGAGGTGTCCAGGGTGCAGTGCCCGGGCAGGCAGAGACACTGGGAGACCCCATCCCACTGGCACTGCTGGCTGTCACCCTGTGCTGGGAGCAGCGCTGGGCTGGGGAGGGGGTGAGGCAGGGCAGGAAGGCAGCACTGGCCGGGGAAAGAGGTGGTCGCAGGTGTGTAGGGGCGGCTGCCAGACCCTGCCCATGTGTGGGATTGGGATGCACCGTGTTCAGCGGCCCTGGTTGAAGGGCAGCAGGGAGAGGTATGACAGAGGGTGGCTGTCAGAGCTCCCCTCCTGTCTCCACGGTGGGCAAATTGATGGATGTGCCTATTAAATGTGCCCCAGTTGCGCCAGAGCATCCACACGGCGTTGCTGGATTGCTGAGTGGGAGAGCAGCCCAGTTACGAGTGTCCATCACCCAGCACATGCCCCGGGCTCTGCTGGAGCCTGCTGAGCCTTACCTGCCAAGCCCTGAGCAGCTGTCAATCCCAGCTCTCTGCAGAGCAGAGGTGAGGAAGCTGGCAGGGCACAGGGCCCTGTGGCACAGCCAGAGTCCCCACAGTGGGTGCTGAGCACCCCTGAAATCTCGGTGTGGGAAGGCTGGGGCAGCACTGGCCACTCTGCTACCCCCAGCACTGCCCTGCCTGCCCCTGGCTCTGTGGTAGCTCCCAGGGATGGAGCTGTGGACACACAGGCTGCCCTGGGCTCCCTCAGCACCCAAAGCACCCCAGCAGGACTGAGCTCCACACTGGAGCCCGCTTGTCCCCACAGGCAGAGCAGATGAGGGACCAGTCCTGCCCCTCCAGGCAGCAGCACAAAAGCATCGAGGGCAAAGTTTGTGTTTTGTTGTTCTTTTGTTTGTTTGACTGTACAAAGAGCAATAAAAACATCCTACACTCAGCAGAGCACTTGGCAAGAGAAGCCCACGGGAAGGCGCAAACCCAAGGCCACACCACGAGCGAATCCAGCCCCTCCTGTGTGTGTAGAGATATTATATTTGCAGACTCTCTCTGCTGTGTACAGCTATGTACATACAGATGCATTGGCAAGTTGCAATCCAAAGGATATAGTGCACGAAAGAAATGAAAGGCAGATGCAAGACTGGTCATGTGCAAAGGCTCAGAGGCCTCTGGCCGCCGAGCTGCCGGCTCAGCCCCGGAGCTGCGGGAGCCCGGCCCCGAGCGGAGGCGGTGCGGGAACACCGCGGGCACTGTGCGGGGACACCGCGGGCACTGTGCGGGGAGCTGTGGGTGTGCGGGGTGAGGGACAGGCGGCTCAGCCCGGCCCTCCCCGGGACACGGGGAGCCACGTGTGGGACACGGCACATTCCTGCTGCAGATGGGAAGAGGAGCGGCGGCGTGGTGGGAGCCCAGCGGGGTGGAGCGGGATGGGGAGGGCACGTGGGGCCGGGGCGGGAAGCGATGGGGCAGAGCAGGGAGTGCGCGGCTGTCCCTTCACCTCCGGGGCCTGACAGCACTGCCCGTGGCACAGCCGGGATGGCACCCACCCAGGGGCACAGCAAAGGTCTCCCTTCTCCCCGGGCAGTGCTGCTCGTGGGTGGCAGGACCCCTGGCACCTGGCCCTGGGCAGTGTCCCCTGTGGCTCCGTGCACTGCTCCTCTTCTGCCCCACGTCCCGCCTGCCACGGGAGAAGGAAAGCCCGGGCGTGGTGCTGCAGGGGACACTGCCCTGGGTCACTTGCCTGCCTGACCCTGGCGTGCTCCAGCCCCCACAGCTCACCTGCCAGTGAGGCAGGTGGCACTGGGCACGCTGGCAGTGCATTGCCATGGCAGTTATGGGTTGTGCAGTGCTCTGCAGGGAGGCTGGAGGAGGCAGTCTCAGCATGACAGGGCTGCTCGAGGGTGACAGAGATGTCCTAACTCCAGGCCTGCTGTTGTGCCTTCCCAGCAAGTGCCCAAAATCTCCTCTTCCTCCCAGCAGCTCTTCGACCTGAGCAGCCTCACCCTGCCACTCCCCACCACCTCAGTTTGACACATCAACAGAACATTTTCCATTACAATTACCCTCCCCAAGACCGCAAAAAAATCAGCCCAGCGCCTTTGGCTGAGATGCTCAGACTCAAAAATAGCCCAGGAGGCAGAAGGGTACATCCCTTGCAAACCAGGAGCCATTAGTGGTTCCAAAACACAGCAAAGCTCTGAAACACCACCTGAGCTCATGGTCATTACCTGACCCTCGGCTTCCCAGCAGCCCGGGACAGTCCCTGAGGAGCACGAGCTTTCTGTCTCAGCACCCTCAGCACTGGCACACAGGACTTGCAAGGAGGAGACTGGCAGCTACCCAGGATCCCTGGGGATGGGAACACCACTGCCTGTGCCCCAGGCACAGCAGGAACACCTCAGGGATGAGCCATGGCCCCAAGAGCAGGGGGCCACTGGCCCCTGCTCATGTTTTCCATTGGGACAGAGCACAGATAACCAGGCACGGGGCTGCCCAGACCCCTCTGCCCCTCCTGGCACCCCCTGCTCAAGTCCTTCTGTGTGTGGGGACCACACTGGTCCCCCCTCTCCCACACCAGCTTGTCCCCAGCACCTCCTCACAACTCTGGCACTCAGCAAGGGACAGGCTGGTCCCAGCTCAGCCTCAGGGCAGCCTTGATGTGCTTCAGCCCCCCTCCCCAGCCCTGCCCACCAGGGCCAGGCTCCAGGGACCTTCTTCTCTCCGCGCCCTGCTCCAGGCTGGGTTGGGTATTTGGATGGAAGGAGGGATGCTCTGGGGAGACAGAAATCCTTGCTCTGGGAAGCACATCGAGAGGGTCACGCTGTACAGGGGTGAGGAGGGAGGGGCGGGCAGGGGGGCACTACTTGGTGCCCTCGTCCGGGTTGCCTTCGCCGTCCGTCTTCCCTTCCTCCTCCGTCTTCTGGTCGTCCGTGTTCAGCCTCTGCTGCTTTTTCCGGCGCACACATTTCACCACCATCAGCACCAGGATCACCACGGCCAAGAAGCCGCCCACGGAGGCGCCCACGATGACAGCCACCGTCGAGTCGTGCTTCGGGGGCTCTGGGGACACAGGGCACGGGCTCAGGGCACAGAGCCACCCCCTGGGAGTGGGCAGGGCTCTCGCTCCCAGGGCCAGGGAGCAAACCCTGTGCGAGGCAACCGCAGAGGGGACACTGACCTTCGGTGAACACCTTCAGGCTGATGCTGGCGTAGCCCCGGTGCCGGTCCGGAGGGTTCAGGACGTAGCAGTTGTAGATGCCCTCGTCCTCCAGCTGCACGTTTTTGAGGGTGAAGGACACGTCGTACTTGGCGGGGTTCCCCGTGAACTCCACCCGGTTCCCGAAGCGGTCCAGCTGCTTGTTCATGATCTTCATCCGGAACTGCAGGAACTGGGCAGCCGAGCGGGAGAGGAGGTGAGACAGCGCTTGGCACCCCACGTGCTCCCTCCCCGGCCGGGCACCCCCCTCCCTGCACGTGCTGCCCTGCCCGGGACCCCAAGGGACACACACGGCTACTTGGAGCTGATCCCCAGCCCCAGTGAGACTCACCAGCTCCTCCGAGCAGTTACTGCATTCCTGGTACGTCCAGTTGAGGGAAAACTGCTTGTTCTCCACCTTGTAGCAGGAGTTGAAGGTGCAGGAGAGCTTCACCGAGGTGCCATTCAAGGCACTGATGGTGGGAGGGGCCATGACCTCCATGCCCAGTCCCGGGGGTGCTGCCGGATGCAGAGGAGTTAGGAAGGGGGCACATCCTGCAGCCACCTGGCTGCACAGAGCTCACCCTGGGGCCTGGCATCGCCTTCCGGGCACATCCACGCACACTGCATCCAGCCAGGAGCGGGATTTCCTCACGCAGCAGTGACAGACAACAAGGGGAGCAGCCCCAGCCCTGGCACAGTCCCTTGGTTGGACGGGAAGAGCATCATCCCTGCTCTGCCAGGGCCGATGACCCCTCAGTGCCGTGCCCGGTGCTGACTCCTGCTGACTGGCAGCCAGCGCTGCTCCCTGCCGGTGCCCGAGGCTTTCCTGCTGCAGGATCCATAGGATCCATAGCACCGTGCAGGGCTGGATGCAGCGTCAGCACACGGGGCCCGGCGCCACATCCGCCCTGAAATTTATGGCTGCGCTCATCAGATTTCATTCCCAGCAGGACACGGCACGGCAGCGAGGGCTGGGATCTGCCAGGGCTGGCCCCAGGGGCTGCAGGGGGAATGCAGGTGCTCCCCCCTCCCAGCAGTGCCCACGCAAGGGTTCTCCAGCTGGGAATGACCAGAGCGAGATCTGGGTCACTCCTGGGGGAACGAGGCCAGTCCCTGCTCCCCAGCCTGGCTGTGGCAGAGAAACAGGGACAGTACCTGGTGCAGCCCCCAGGGCAGGACTCAGCTGGGACACGGGCAGGGATGGGGTGTCTGTGACCTGCTCTCTGCTCAACTCCATCCCTGCAGCTCCCCTGGGCTGCTGCCTACCCCGGCAGCACCCCAGACCCGGTGCCTGCATCCTGGAAAGGGGACAGGCTCCTGTGCAGCCAGCTGGCTGCAAACACCGAGGCTAAACCCTGAGTGACACGGGAACAGAGAGCCCTGGGAGGGAGGGGACGATAAAGGGGGGCTGTGGCATCCCGCAGGGCGGGGACAGTGACACTGCCACCACCAGGTGCTTTTCGGATCACCTCACCTCTCCCCTTGGGCTGCTGCTCTTTGCTCTCAAACCTTCTTCCCGAGGTGCTGCCGAGTCCAGCCCTGCGGCCAAGCTGGAGGCACGTCCAGGCTGCTCCACTGGCCGCTCCGCTCCGCCTGCAAGCAGGGCAGGAAAGGGGCCAGGCTCTGCAGCCAGGGAAAACAGCCTTTCCCAGGCCGCAGACACGGCTGCTTCAAGCCACAGGTCTCGCTGCAAGGTGTGAACCCGCAGCACCCTGAAGCTCTCTGGGGGCAGGGGGTGCCCTCAGGTGTGGCCCAGCCCTGGAGACGGCTCCTTGCTGTGCTGGCAGCCGAGGTGAGCACCCTCCATCCAAACCCAGCGCAGGGGGGGCTCCCACGGGGCTCAGGGGGACAGGGATGGGGACAGCTGGCACATGGGGACGAGTCTCAGTGCCCAAGGAAGGAAGAAGTGTCCTGAGCCAGTGTCACAGCCCTGCTGCCCCATCACAGCTTTAGACGCTTCCAAGAAAACCTCGCAGGGGTGGGAGAGAAGAGCCAGGAGCTGGTCTGTCCCAGCAGGCCTGGTTGGGGGGGTGTCCCTGCATGGAGTCATTGTCTGAGCACTGCTCAAACAATGCCCTGTGTGCCTGCAATTGGGTGACCTGGCTTTGTTCTGTGCCCTCAGGGTGCCCCCAGGGCTCTACAGGGGGATGAGATCCCACCAGGAGCAATCCTGTCCCCCAGCCAGAGAGACCAGGGCCTGGCAGGGCTGCACCACAGCCAGAGGGTCCTCACGGGCAGCCAGCACGCGCTGGGCACGTGCCCTGGGAGCACCCACGTCTGTGGGTCCAAACTCTGCCACTGCCCAGCACTGGGGGACAGCAGAAGTGGGGGAAGAAGCCCCTAAAGCCCCCGGGACCGACCGTCCGGGCTGCGTCCTTCGGCGCCGCGCAGGCTCCCAAACGCTCCGTCACGCTGCACCCTGCGCCCAGGGAGGCAAAATCACAGCAGCCTCTAAAGCAGACCTCGCTAGGTTTTGTACCCTCCTTTCCCAGGCTCTCTCCTCAGGGGTAAGGCAGCCCATCAGGAGCTCCAGGACAGCGCGAGCAGCACTTCAAAGAAGTGATGCGTTCCCGTTCGCGATCGATACCCACCCAAAGCTGCTGACACACGCTGCTGGCGGCGGGGCAGGACGCAGGGGACACGTCCCCCCCCGACCCATGCAGCACTGCCAGCCCGGTGCCCGCTCCCCCAGCCGCCAGCCACCACCCCAAGGACAGCCACAAGCCACCACAGCCACCCACCACCAGCTCCCCGGCGAGGCGCAGCCCCTGTGCCCGCGGCAGCCCCCTCCTCTCCCCGGCATGCAAACAGCATCCAGCGAGCAGGATGCACGGCTGGCTGCAGGAGAAGATGCAGTCGCAGCATAACCCCCCACCCTGCCCAAAAAAGCAGGTCACCCTGGCTGGTGGCTCTCCGCAGGGTGCATGCTGGACCACCTCTGTGCCCATCCCTGCGGCTCAGCGCTGGCTCAGCGCGCCGGGCTGCGGGGAGGGGGGCTCCTGGCCAGGCAGGGGGGTGCCTCCCCACCCGGCCGCATGCAAGGGCATCCGGTCAGACACTTACCCAGCGACAGCAGCAAGGTGAGGCCAGTGAGGAACAAGGTGGGCTGCGGGAGCCAGGCTTCCGGGCTCATTTTTGGAGGATTTTTTGTGTGTGGAGAGGACGTGGCGGTGGCGTGGGTTTTGGAGGTGGTGGTGGAGGGTTTGTTTTTTTTTTTCGAACGCCCGGGTTATTTGCAGGTGACATATAACATTAGAGCCGCTTTATTTCCACAGCCCAATATGGCTGGAGCGGAGCTGGGGCGAAAAAAAGCAGTAAATGCTGTGGTTGGTGGATTGCAGCCGGCGGAGTGGGAGGGCGGAAAAATTTTTCCCCTGAACTGCAGGTGACAGCTCCTGGCAACTCCAGCTCCGCGCTCTCCTCACGGGCTGTGTCACACGGTGGGTCCCCCCGGCCCCCTGCAGCCCCCCTGGTTTCAGTGGGGCCGTGCAGATGTGTCCCCTTGGCTCTGCTGGGGGCTGGCGACCGGCCCCGCTCGCACCATCCACGGCAGCAGTTCCCGTTCAGCTGGGCCCGGGAGCATTGGGAATGCCCTCCTGGAGGGGGCTGATCCAGGCTGGGAAGAGCAGAGGGTCCCAAGGAGGCAGTCTGGTCAGCGTGCCCAGGAGGTGGCACTGCCACGGGCAGGTGACCTGCAGCAGGTAAAAGCTCTCCTGCTCACCTCCCTTCTCTCCCAGGCCACTGCAAGAGCAGCTCCCTCGCTTCCCAGGGGTGCCAAGCTCTGCCATGCCCCCAGCAGCACGCTCTCCCAAAGCAACAGCCCTGCTCACAAGGAAGCTCTGCCCAGCAGTAACAGAAAGTCTTTGATCCCATTGGCACCATCGGACAAGGAAGTCTTTGGGCCCTGGACTCCAAGCCTGGCCTCAGGCTGCAGAGGTGGGAGCAGGAAGGGGTTGACGTGGCCTCATGGGGACCAAAGGCAGCCACAGCAGCTGCTCAGGCCCCTGTTCTCGTCCCCTGGGACACAGGGAGGTGGAGTTTGCTGAGACAGCATCAGTGGGGAGAAAGGCAAGGGATGCCCTGCAGCCAGGGCACATCTTGCTTCCTACACACCTGGGGAGGAAGGGATGGGGCAACAGGGATGCAGAGGGGCCCTGCTGCCTGACCAGCCTCAGGAGGGGAAACAGGACAGCTGAGAGAGAAGGCATCAGAGTGGCAAACACAGCAACCCTGCTCAGCAGACACCCTCACTGCACACACAGCAGTTCCCCTGCACACCGGGCAGGCAGAGCCCACTCTGCTCTGCCACAACAGCTCCCACAACCCCACGGCGGCAGCAGAGGTCACATGTGACCCTCCAACACCCCAAAACCAGCTCGGGCTGCTGGTTCCTGCTGTGATCCCATCGCTCTGCCTCCCTCCAGGAAAAGAGAGCAGGGTGTCAACGTGAACCAAGGAGGAGCAGCAGCGCTGCAGTCTCAGCAGTGGTGGGAGGTGGAGGGTCCCTGCGCTCCCTCCGCACCTGGAGGTGTCAAACATCTATATATAGAGCAGGAGCAGCGCCAGCACCCTCTCAGATGCTGCCCTGGAGGCCTGGGGGGGTGTGCTGGGCTCCCCCCCGGCCAGGGCTGCCTGTCCTGGGTATAGGGTGGGTGCTCACCCGTGGCCAGGGGCTGGGGCAGGGAGACATGAGGGCACACACACACTGCCTGCAGGGGCTGTCCTGCTCCCCTCCACCCCTGTCCTGCTGCAAAGGGACCCTCTCTGTGGCCCTTTTGGCTTTACTGCTGCCTGGGGCCAGCTGGGCAGGCGCCCTGTGCGAGGCTGCACGTGGGAGCAGGGGCTCCCAAGGCCCTGGGCCAGGCAGCTTTTGGCACACTCGGACATCACGTGCTTAAGCAAGAGGTAAAACGAAGACAGGAACAGGGAAGAGTCCCTGAGTTTTATTATCTCCAGAATAATACCATAATGGCCCCTGCTGCATGTCCCCCCTTGGAGATCCTTGTCTCAGGACCAGGCTCAAAGCTAGAGCGTGGAGGCTGTGCCCACTGTGCCCCTCTCCAGAGACCAGGGGGCAAGAGGGACAGGTTTCCCCTGGTCCTCTGCAGACAGCTGGGGTGGGCCATCCCCCAGCAGTGCCCTGGCACGGAGCACACAGTGAAGTGTCACCAGTTCTGGCCACCCAAAGGGACAAAGGTGTCTTGGACACACCTGGCTAAGAGGTTTCATCCCCCAGCACAGTTATTTCTCCTGCTCTGGAGCCCGGGGAAGTGGCTGCTCTGGTCTGCTGTGGGGCTCCTGGCTTTGTCCTTCACCTTGTCTCCCCTCTCCCATCCATTCTGCCGGGATCATCCTCTTGGACAGCTCCACGTAGACGCCGTTCTCCCGGCAGTGGGAGGGGTGCTGGGGAGCAAGGGACAGGGTGTGAGTGCCACCACAGGTACCAGGGGCTGTTTGGAGGGGGAAGGGGGCAAGGGATGCTGCTGCCTGGCACGGGGAGTGAGGGGTCAGGCCTGGATGCCACGGCCCTGGCCAGGGGGCAGTGATGTGGGGGATCACACCAGCCTGCTCCTCACCATGGTTATGTAGGTGTCCTCAGCTCTCCTCTTCTTCTTGGCATCCTGTTCAGCCTTGGGTATCTCAGCTCCAGGGATTGAGCAGTAAAGCGCTTCCTGCAAGGGGGCATCGGGATGTTTGGGACTGGGCAGTCCCCAAACACCCGAGGGCTGCCTGACCCCGCTCACAGGGCAGGCACCAGGAGCCACGGCTGTGTCTGGGCAGTGAATGGCACCTCGTGTCTGGCCAGTGTGGGGTCCCCTCCCTCGGCCTCCCCACACACCCGACCTCAGTGCTCCCCCCAGCCTCAGCTCTCACCTCTGCTTTGCTCTTGCTGTTTCCAATCCTCTCCAGGGCCGTGTTGCCTGCAAACCTTGTGGGAAGGCAACAGCAGCGTCATCTCCATCGCCTGCCCCTCCTGTCCCTCCCTCCCCCTCCCGGGACACTGGAATGCCTTTGCACGTGCCTCAGCCAGGCCATCCTTGCTGCTGGCCCAGCCCAGAAGGCTTGGGAGCCAAGGGGGGACTGGCCAGGGCAGAGTGACACTAGATGGCAGCAGGAGCCTGCACCCCACTCCGGGGGAGTTGAACCCTCATACCCGGGAACCTGCCCCGCACGGGGCAGCTCAGGGCGATGCCTGGTTGGGGACACCAACACGGGGAGGTGCAGGGAGGTGCTTTGCTCAGCCCCATAACCCCAGAGCCAGCGTTGGTACCTCTTCCTCACGCAGAGTCCGGCCAGGAACGCCACCACCACGGCCACGCAGCCACAGCCCACCACCGCCGGCCAAAACCCGGAGTCTCTCAGGGGTGCAACCTCCTGGGCACCTGCTGCTCCTCGTCCTTCTGGGGAGACACCAAGGCAGGGATGGCACCATGAAGACCCCGGCCCTGCTGCAGGAGGGCCGTGGCAGCAGGTCTGAGAGCCTCCTGGGCTCTGCAGCCCCTCAGCACGAGGGATCAGGGGAGCAGTGGCAGGGCTCAGCACACACCTCTCTGCGCCGGGGGGCTGACGTGCAGCACCGTGCGGTTCTTGAAGATGCTGCTGTTGAGCTGCAGGCGGATCTCACACTCGTAGGTGCCGCTGTCGTTCACGTGCAGGTCCCGCAGCCGGATGGAGCCGTCCCGCCGGGACAGGTCCCCTTCCCACTGCGCCCGCTGCTTGAAGCGGCCCGCGGGGACCCCACGGTTGCTGTAGTAAAAAAACACCACCTCCTCCTGCCAGGGCACAGACAGCGACAGGTCAAGGGAGCCCAGTGGAAGGGCACTGCCCCATGAGCCTTCTGTCCTCGAGAGCTCTCAGGTCCTGCTCTCTCCCTCTCCTCACGGAGCAACTGCTGTTCACAGAGCCCGGCTCGCACCCAGAGCGGTGCTTCCCCTGCAGCCTGGGGCCATGGGGTGTCCCACCACCACACGGGCAACCTTCCTCCCCTCGTGGAACCTTCCTCCTCCCCTGGCCTGGGCCAGGCAGACGGGCTTCCCCACATCCTCCCCATAGCTGCCTCACCCACCGTCCCCCGCCACAGCCCGTGTCCCGCTCCACCACCCACCCCCCGATCCCGACCCACCTGAGTGCCAGCCCTGGCCCTGTGTATCCAATCCACCTTGCTCACGGTCCAGCCCTTGTTCTCCAGGTCTAGGAAGTGGCACTGCAGCAGCACAGAGTCCCCAGCGCTAGCTCGAAGCTGAGGCTCTGTGAACACCCGGCCAGACCCTCCGCTCGGCTCTGCCGGGGACAGGGACAGCAGGATGAGTGCGGGGAGCAGGGCCAGGCGCAGCCTGCCTGTCCCCATCGGTGTCTCCTCTCCAGGTGAGCCTGGGGCTCACGGCACCGGCCAGTCCAGAGGCAAAGCCTCTCCCTGACCCCTGCTCTTGGCGTGCCCGGGATGTGGGGCAGCAGCACATCCTCCCGCCGCCAGACCGGGGGCTGCCGCGCTCGCCGGACAAGCCGCGCACAGGGGAAGTCGGGAGGCACAACCCCAGCCCTCCAACGCCTCGGAGCCAGAGCCTGCAGCTCCTGCAGGGCTGTTCCTGTGAGTCACTGGCTGGGAGAACCTGTGCCGCCCTCATCTCTGCCAGGCCAGGGGCAATTCAGCCGCTTTGCACGGATTTCAGTTCCTCCTTCACAACCTGCCCATTTGGCTTCCTTCCCCTTTGCTCACAGGCTCCAGACCTGGGCTTGTACTTGTCTGGCCACGTAACTACAGTTTGGGGTTTCTAGAGAAGCTGGACAGTGGGAAAAAAAAAACCAAAAGAGAGGAAGATCAAAGAGCACAGAGCTGACACAACCAGCACGAAGCAGCTGCTGGCACGCTGGGCTGCAGAGCGCACGGCAGGAAGGGGGTTAAAGGTCTCTTCCAAACTAAACGATTCTTTGAAAAAAGTGGGCCAGAAAATGCCTCTGGAGCTCGTTGAGAGACACCCTGCACGCTCCAGAGCCTGCACTGGCACTAGAAGGAGAGGCTGAGGCTCTGGCAGTTCTCTGTTGAGAGCTTGGGGAGCTGATTCAGCGGGAAGCTGCTCTGACAGGTCGGCTTGTCCTCGTGTCTGAGCCACTCTGCTCAGCCTGTCCACGAGCCACAGAGGGCTGGGCCCTGGCCAAGCACCAAGTGCTTGTCTGATGTCCTGTAAATAATACATGCAAAGTGCTTCCCAAACAGGTTCTTTTGGTCCTGACCAGCTGCAGAGCTGTAATGACAAATACTTGCCAGCAGAGAAGACCAAGGGCTGAGCTGCCTCGAGCAGAGCCAAAATCATTACCTTGAAAACCTTTCCCTGTATTTAGACTTGGTGAAGCTGTTCTATTTCTTTCAAGGCCTTGGAGCCTGGCTAAGTACAGGACACATCCAGGGATGCCATTGCAGTTTGAAGCCTATATAAATGTGAGGTGTGCAGGAAGGGAAGATGCAGCACCCAGAGACTGGAGGAGTCACTGGTACTCAGATCTTACAGCAAAGGCAGAGGGGAAAGAAGGCAAGGCAAATAAAACTTATAGCTTACCCAGCCATGTCAGCACCAGAGTCAGGCTCAGCAACACCTTCATCTTACTCTGAAAAGAAAAGCAGATGTGGCACAGGCATCAGGCTCCCCTGGGGCAGGACACCAACAACTTGCCACCAGCTCAAGGTTAGAGAAAGGCTCTGCTGCCTGATGTGCAGCCTCTCAAGTTGGGAGCTTGAAACTCAGCCAAGCACAGATGGCAGACACCAGGTCTCTGGTTTTTGAGACTGCTCTGAGCCCTGGACAGGAAGAGCAAGCGTGGGGGAAAGGGCTCAGCCTGAACCCCTTTGTGTTTCCCCCTAAGTCACGAAATCTTTCCGGTGGTTTGGGGTCGAGACTCTGACATCTGAGCAGAGACGTTCACAGGAGTCAACTCTGCTCACAGAGCAGTGGGATGTTTTGAATACTACAGAATCAGACAAGTTTGATTCTAAAAACACAGACCCCCCTCCTCCAGGACTAACCCCCCTGCCCCAGGGTGCTGCACAGGGAGAGAGGTTCTGCTGGAGCCTCTCGGGCTCTGTTCAGACAGTGCCATTTTTGGTCACTGGATTCAGCTTGACCTGCTGCACATCTCTCAAAATAAAGCTGACATTTCCCTTCTACACCTCGTGGATATATCCTGCAGCCCAAGGAAGGACTGGCTGTCATCATCAGGAATATGCCAACTGGTGTTAAAAGGAAGGCAAAGTCAGAACCCTGCTTGCTGTGTCCCTGCTCCATGATTCCCAGCTATGGCCATTCAAAAATGCTAAACACAGTTAAGGGCACAAAGTTACTGAGAGAAGCTCTCCTGGCTGGAGAAGCTGCACGTGGCAGCTGGATTTGAGGTTGCCATTCCCAGCCCGTGTTTCCCAGCACAGGCATTTTCGCTGCAGAAACAGAAAGACAAGAGCTGAATCATCCCTGACATCTCGGTGGCTTCATCTTGCAAGGGAGAGGATCTTTACACCAGCCTCAGGCAGGGATTACAGGCCCAGAATTAGCTACTGGGTACCTATGGGTCTGTTCCAGGCTGAGGGAGTCACTACAGCTTTGCAGTCAGAGATGTAAAACCCTCTGCCCTTGATCGTCCCCCCTTTTCCACAGACAAAAATCCTGCAAAGCAGCAGCACACCTTCTGGAATTGTCTCAAATCCCTTTCAAAGCACAGGGCCCCCCCCGGGGGTCGGGTTTCTGGTGGTGGAGGGGGGAGCTGTGGTTTGGCTGCGCTGCTGCAGCTCTGCTGTGACACAGTTTGCTGCACGCACGACCTACAAACACAGCAGCACTCCTGCACCACTCCTGCTCGGCTCCAGAGCTCAGCTGGGGCAGCACAGCTCTGTGCAGGAGGCCACAGCATCCTACTTTCCAGAGACACTGCCAAAAAATCAGGCAGAGCTGTGCCCTCCCACAGGAGCCAAGAGAACAGCCAGCTCAAAGAACAGTCCTCAGCACCCTGAAACCCGGGATTTCCACACTCAGAACCTCCTAAGCTCCCTGCAGCTGAGCTACCGAGGCTCTGGGCCTCATGTGCCATCAAGCCCTTCCAGGATTTATTACCCTGCTTCTGAGAATAAACTCTGGTCCTCTCTGGGAACACATCTTTGCAGGGTCTCCCCCTGTGACACACACCAGTCTGTGGGTGTTGTGATGCACCAGCTGGAAACAGCACCCACTCACCCTGCTGTTGTGTATTTTATGGTGCTGACACATCCAAATCACCTTTACCAAACAGACTGGGGGGAAAAAAAGACACAGATACCATACAGCCTTCACGTTTCCCTTATTTTTCACGTGGCATCTGAATCTCCAGCACTTCTGATTCTCTGGTTCTCTTTTCAAGGAAAAAAAAAAAGTAAATATTATGGCAAAAAGTACTCACCCAGTGTGGCTTGGGGCAGTCAACTTGTCTTGCATGAAGGGTTCTTCAGTGGCAAATCTGGAGTATCTGAACTGGTTGTTAACAATTCGGAGTATCTGAACCAGTTGCTAAATCATCTTGCAAGATATTTCTCCTGCCAGACTTGGTTCCTTCTCTCAGGTCCAGCTTGGTGACCACTTTCACAAGCAAGAGGAAGTAGATTAACAAATCAGAACGTGGAAGGGCTGCAACAGAGAGGTCACAACAACAGCAGGAGCATCCTGGCTGAGAGGAGATGATGGGGATGCAGCAGCTTCAGGAAAAAACACCTCACAGGTACAAACTGAGGCTCAGCCCCAGCCCTTCCACTGGGGCAGAACAACCTGACCAGTCACTGTGTGGGAAGGCAAGGATGGAGAGATGCCTGGCACACAAGCTGTGCTCCCCCCTGGTTTGTTTTTGGGGATCAGAGCTGGTTAGAGAACCATCCTTGCTGCAGGATCTTGACCTGATGAGGCAACACTGAGTAACTTTGTTGGACTTTACTGCTGGTGCTGCCAGGAGCCCCAGCCCAGCAGGCACCTCATGGGCTAAAGGACCCCTATTCACACCCCTGCCACAGCTGTTCCCTTCAGAAACACCCCCCAGCCACTGCTTTCATCCACTGCACACCCCCCAGGCCCTCTGAGAGCCCATTTTCACCCTTCCTCTTTCTCTGAAACACCAGAGCAACTCCTGTTCTCTATTCCAGTGTCAGTGGCTTTCATGGTACACCAAGGGATTTCCACATGGGTGACAGAGCAAGAGAAAGCTCAGCCTCACTCAGGCTGCACAGCACTAACCCTGCAGAATGTGCCTCTGCTCCAGAAAGGTTTGCCCAGGGTCCAGCCTGTTGTTTGCAAAGGAGTCCCAGTTGAAGGCAAACACTGCAGCAAACCAGTCTTTCATTTTCCCCAAGAACTTGCGTGATGTGTGAGAGTGGAACAACAAAGCCACTTCCTCCAGGCTGCACAATCCCACCAGCAGCCTTTCTCAGGAAACTTTTGGCCCACAGAGGCATTGTGTCACCAGGAAGCACAAACATTTTAAATATTACTTTATAGTAGGTAGGAGATAAATGTATTTCTCCATCTGGAGATGGAGCTGACCTGCTTCTCAATCAGGAACTTAACACACCTGAAACTTGCAGCCACCACAGAGCTGCCAAAGGGGGACTTGGTATTTGTTCCCTTTTGGGTTAAATCTGCTCCCTTTACCCATTGCCACAAGACAATTTTTATACCCAAGCAGCAACTCAGGGTGGCAGCTTTATGAGTTCAATTATATTTAACCAAATAAAGTTATCCACAGGCCAAAAATGAAATAAAGCAGTTTATTCGTAATGGCACATCAAAATCAGCAGTAAAATTGCACCACACCTGTAAAAGGAGAATATTTGACCAATGTCACACACATTGGGAAGGAAGCAGCAAACAGCAGCTCTTTAGGGATTCAGCAGACACGGATTCCACTGCTCTTTGTCATTCATTAAGGGACAAGGTTGGTGAAAGAGGAAATGCTCTTCCTCCAGGGGAAGCAATGCTGCATGATTGGCCATTTCCCTAAAATGGTACCCAGGAGAGGAAGAAAACAACTACTGCAAACAGAACATTGGTTTGGGCAGTGCTTGAGTCCATGGTTGAGGTAGATGGGGTTGTGTGTCCCCAGATACAGAGTCCCCATTTGCACTTCTGATTAAAAAAAAAGGTTTGTTTTCTGTGAATTGTGCTTCACCTCTACAAGGAGAAGGAGATGCAGCTGATTAAACCAAGAAATAGTCAAAAAGCAGTAGGTTCTCTTTGCTCCCAGGATGGCAGATACCCCTTCATCAAACAGGTTTGAGTCACCAGCAAATACATTCCAAAAAAACTGAGAATAAACATCACCAGTCCCCAAAGATGAGCAGCCTAGAGAGCTCTGGAGCAGCCTGTCCTTCAGGAAATTCCGTTTCAAGGGCTCAGGAAAGGAGGGATGTCACCAAAAAGTCAAAAAATTTGCAAGTGAACCAAGACACGTTGGCAGAGGGCTGGGAGGACACAGCCTGTGCAGCTGCAGGCACTGCACAAGTGAGCTGAAGAGATTTCCTTTTTCCCCAATAAATTAGAAGGATTTTAAAAAAATCATTATTTTGTGCTTAAATAGAAGTGAATTATCCCAGCAGCATCATTCTTCCAATCTACCAAGAGCAGAGCACATCCTTCCACCTGCACTGGTTGTCCAGCAGCCTTCGGAAGTACCCGGCCCTGATTTTCGGTGCTGCCTTTTTGTTCTTTCTGCACAGATTTAGCCTTTCATCAGTATGGATCCTCCTCATCCGTGTCCTAAACAGGGAGCATGGGGAGAGAAATGGAGACTGTGTGTGAAGACATGAGTCAAGTCCTGAGTTCAGCAGAATGCTGAGCCTGCTGGGCTTCTGACGAGAGCCTGAACCCTTCCCAAAGTGCTGCTGTGCTTGAGCAGGCCAGAGGACTGGCATAAACACTGCTAAAAATGTATGTAAATGTATATATATGTATGTATAAGCACTTGCAGCTGAATCTGTTTGACTCCTCACAGACACACAGACCAACCACCACAATATAACCAGCACATCAAGTGTGTTTTAAGAGAAGAAGCAGCTAAAGCTCAAACCAAAGATGAGCCATAAAGGGCAGCACAAAGCAAAAGCACCACCAATCCCTGTAGAGAGCAGCACAAATTATTGTTTTTTCAGCTACAGCAACCACTTATTTTCAGAGCCCAGTCGTCTGTAATTCCAACCACAGGAGACGTTTGCTGGCATCCCCTCGAGCCAGATCTGCAGCTTCCAGCTCTGAACTCACTCAAACTCCTCAGCTCTACAGGGGAAATCTCACTGACTCTGCAGTCACTTTGAGTGCAAAGAGATTTTTCAATGGCTTTGCAATTTCAGTTGTTTGGTAACATATTAAGCATGAAAAAGCACATTACAGAAACCTCAAAAACCCAGAATCATTAAGGTAAGTGCGACAGGATTCTCAGCCACCTGATCAGACAAGTACCTCAATATCAGAGCAGAGAATCAAATCTGACAAAACACTCAACATGAAAGCAGCAGGATTATATCACTCCAATTGGACTCCTCTCAAAGGATGAGAAGACATTTTTCAACTTTTGAGATCTCCCACTGCCTGACAGCATCTCTCTCACCAGGCTGGGGCTCCATCCTTTCCCATCTCTCCACCTGGTCCCTCCCTGATTCCCAGCATGTCACCTTTCCACCTCCCAAGGCAACTTCCCCTTTGGCACAAAGCATTTCCTACTTTCTGCACCTCTCCAAACCCTTGTTCCCAACACTGCCGTCTTGTAACTGCTGTGTCTTATGTAGAAATGTAAATATTTAATATTTAACTTACATAATTGCTTGTTTTCCATTCTGTATCTAACAGAAACCATCAGCACACGCCTGTCTGAAGGCTCATGCATTTAGGACATTTTAAATCACTGGCATTAGAATAGTGAATCAAGCAACACATATTTAAATACTCCTTAGCATATGTCCTGACTGTGTATAAGAGATGCAAAGGTGCCTCAGGTCAGTTTGCTCTATAGGACACAGTGGAAAAAAATGAAAACACTCAAATTACTCTGGAATGTGCCACACTGGTGGCTGTGGCTGCTGATCCCAGCACACAGGACTCACACAAAACAAGGGCAGCAGGTGGCAAAAACACTCAGTACTGTCAGCACAAGGCTCCTGATTCACAGGAGCTGCTGGTGGGGTAGGAAGGGAACCAGCAGAGTTAGAAGACAACCACACACAGCAGAGCACAACAAACAAAAAGCCACAAACAAACAAACAAACCACAAGGGTTAAGAAACATTCTGTTGCAATGGAAACAGGGTGAGAGGAGGAAGGTCTCCAGAAGAGCAGCAGGGCTGCACCTTCTCTGCAAGGAGCACAGGGCATCGGGGTGTCCCTGCCTCCCTTCCCCACTGCCAGCCCCCAGGCTGGTCAAGCAGGGCCTTCAGAGAAACTACACGGCAGCTTGCTCTTAAATTCTGGTTTTTCATCTTAAAACCACAGCTTTGGTTTCAATAAAGTCACGTGAAAAATCGATTTGGTGGATCTTGAGACAAAACAAGGAGCTTAAGCCCGGCCGTTTGGGACACCTCCTGGACATCCAGAGGGGTTATGGCAAGCTCCACCTCCTTAGCACCTCCTGTGAGCATCAAATTTGGCAAAACCACAGTGAAAACACCAGCTTTCACTTACCACACAGTTCAGACACCACGCCCTGAGTTTCCCGGAGCAGCCAATGCTCTCTGTCTGCTCAGGCCTGCAGAAAAGGCACAGGATTAGGTTGGACTTTTCCTCCCAAAACACACTGATAAGTCCTACAGACTCTGAATTCTATTTACACCACATGGAATCAAAGGTTTTTCATCGTGATGAAAAGCCTTTGATTCTGCACAGCAAAACCAAAGAGAATAAAGCCTGTCAGGCCCCTCGTTCTGAAGGCACATATTTCACGTCAGTGCCACAAAGAAGAAAACAAGAGCTGCTATTTGGCTGGCAAATCTCAAAACTCCAATCAGAAGACTGAAACATGGCAGTAAAACCTCATTCTGCAGTGGATTGCAGCCCTGGATTCATGGCAAAGCCAGGTGCAGCTCCTGCAGCAGCACTGACACCTGGCTGTTCTCACCACTGACCCTTCCAGAGCTGAATCCTCTCCAGTGCAGAGGGGAATTCAGTCTCCAAGGCTCCTTCAGTACCTGGCACCTCTGCTCAGGCCACCACAGGGGAACCAGGTGGCATTATTGGGTCTGTTCTGATGTTGTGGACACTTCATACCAAAATGCAACACATAAAGCCCACGTAGGCAAAACATCTTGCTGACTCAGGTCGAAATAAATCCCATTACAGAAGTGAAAGACTGGCTAACCCTGAACTGCTTCTGTTCCGTGGCTCACACGAATGACAGGAAAAGGGGATGTACAACATGTGATTCATGCCCCAACAGGGGCATTTCCAAAAGCTTTCTGAGTGCTGAATGGTGCTCATGGAGAAGCAGAACCAGTGACTGAACCACAGTGGAGAAACCAACAGTCCAAAGTGGAAGGACAGGCTTTGGGCTGCAGCCAGAACTTACTCATCAGACACCTCGATGGAGGATTTCTTGTAGCCACCTTTCCTTTTCTCCTTCAGCACCCTGAATTTCCTTCCCATCCTCACCAGCAGCAGAACGACCACGATGGTGGAAGGGAGGAACACGGACAGGGAGAGCAGTGCTGCCGAGGTCAGCTGGAAGGAGAGGCCTGCAGGGAGACACCGGGATTCCAGCAGTGAGACACAGGGATAGAAAGGGAGACAGAGCCCTCCCCAGCCTCTGGGACAAACATCCACCCAGGCCACAGCTTGGTGGCCTTCTCACGTGAAGCACAGCACTGGCAGATTGGAGACAGCCATCTCTGCCACCAAATCTGTGGGACTCCTGTCACAAACCCAGCCCAGGCGGGCGCTGCAGATGCAAAGAACTACAAAGGAAGGCAGGTCACGACACAGTTCTATCAGCACACGCCTGAGCTGCAGATTTGGGGCAGGTCTGGCACGCAGGGCACATGAGGAATTGAGTGTTACTGACAGCCAGTGCTTGTGATGTGGGTGTTATTTTTAGGCCAGTATTTCCTCATCGTTTAACTTGTTCCACTGCAATAGGGGGAGGCTGAAAGTGCTGAACAAAGGGGACACTTTTGATTTCGGTTATCAGCACAGCTCCCTCTGCCCCCTCCTGCCCCAAATAAATTCAGTAGTTCTCAATGTATTGAGCTGAGAAGGCAGGGCTGAGGTAATTCTTGCTGAAGCTTTAACATGGAACTCCAGGGAATGTTTTCCACGTGATGCTCAGACTCCCAGGATCCCGACAAAGCTGCAGTGCAGCTCTGTCCCACAGATGAGGCCAAGCCATGGAAATGGAGCCTTACCCCCCTCTGTAACCTCCAGCACGGTCTGAGGGATGTTGTGGTACACGTCTGGAGGATTCTTCACATTGCAGGAGAACGTCCCATTGTCACTCAGCTCGGGGCTCTGGATAGCGATGGAAGCGTCACCACTGGCAACGTTCCCGACCCAGGATATCCTGTCTTTGAACTTTCCCACTGCTGTTGGGTATGGAATGGACTGGTAATGAAAAACCTAAAAGGAGGCAAAGGCAATAGTTGTGCCAATAAAACACTCGCCCAAGAAAGAAAAGAGAAATGCTTTTTTTGGATTGAAATCATAAAGGAATACACATTAAAAGGTCCGAAAAAAATACTTCCTATGCAATAGAAATAAAGCTTCCAATCAGATCTTTACAGTCATACTATGGCTACAGTGCACAATGCAGCACTTGTAGCAACCCCCAAAATTTATCTGCTTTATCATCATTATGCTATTTTGCATTTACATAGAATATTTTCCCCAAAGAACACCAAAGGAATTTCACACGGGACAGAAGATTACAGTGACTCCCAAACCACAGAGTGATGCAGCAGCTCAGTAAAGCAAACAGAAAATTCAGATTTTCAGCAAGCACAGAGGCCTGGTCAGACTCCCTGTGCCACTTACTGTCTCCATCGGGCCCCCAGCGAGGGGTCGGTACGTCCAGTACACCACGAGGCTCTCAGTGATGGGGGAACTGGATCTGAAGGAGCATTTCAGCAGGGCTTGCTCACCCACGACAGCTGTCACTTTAGGACTGGCTTTAATTTCCAGGGAAAGAGCCTTGCAGACACCTGATGGAACAGGCACAAAAGGCAAGGATTAATTTCTCGTTACCAGCCAGGCACAGGAGTGTTGATGTCCCAAAAGTATCAACACACGTGCAGGTCAACGACAATTCAAAGGCTAAAGCAGGGCAATAATGACATCCTCCACAATGAAATATGAAGGAAAGCAGACAACGCCCATGACCTACTCTCTGCAGGGCTGGAGCCTGCTTATATTTAGATGTGGAGATAAAGAGCTGAGAAATGGGATCAGCTGGCTCTCTGATGAGTTCCGAAGTCCCAGCTTTAGGTGCTTTACTTTAAGGTATCTTTACTTTAAGGCAATTTTGGCTCTGTGTGTCTCGCCACAGCCCCTTGAATTCCACGTGCACCGGGGTCAAGAGTCACCCCGCAGCAATAAGTGCTCTCAGTTCTCGTTTCCAGCGTGCGCAGCCCCTCCTGCCCGGCTCACCCGCTGCGGGGCTCGGCCCGCACAGCGCTCAGTGGAGCATCGCTCCCGTCCTGCCCTTCCCAAACCTCCCGCTCCCGGCTGAGGAAGGAGGAGACGGGAACACCGGGCAGGAAGTTCTGCCCTGATGGTCGCACCTCATTCCGCTGCTGGGCGGGCTCCGAGGGAGCAGGAACGGGTTTACAATTCCCCGCCGCTTCCAGCGCCCCGCACAGCGCGGCCGGAGCGACCCGGGACGGTCCTTCCCGAGCCCCCCACCGCCCCATGGACCACCCACCACTCCCGGACGGCCCTTCCCGAGCCTCCCACCGCCCCGAGACAGCCCTTCCCGAACCTCCCACCGCTCCATGGACCATCCACCGCCCCCCGGAGCATCCACTGCCCTCGGAGCCGCATCCCGGGCGCTCCCCGCCCGGTTTCCACGCGGGACCCCCCCATTCCCGGACCGCGGGCAGCGCTGATCCCGTCCCGTCCCAATCCGTCCCGTCCCGTCCCAATCCATCCCGTCCCATCCCAACCCGTCCCGTCCCATCCCATCGCAGCCCCCGGAGCGCGCCGGTACCGAGCAGCAGCAGCAGGACCCCCCGCGGGAGGAGGCAGCCGGCGGCCCCGGGGAGCCGCATCCCTGCTGGGCTCAGCCCCGGAACATGGCGCTCACCTGGCGCAGGTGAGGGCGGGGCAGCCCCAAAATGGCCGCCCCACCTGGGCACACCTGGGGCGGCCGCGCGGCCCCGGCAGAGCCCGATCCGGGGTCTGAGAGGAGGGTCCGGACACCCCAAAACTCCCCAGCCCCGTGTCGGGGTCGGCCCCTAAATGCCTCTTCGGCACTTTTTGGGTGCAAACCCGCTCGTTTGAGGTGCCTGGACCTGGGGGGGGGTCCCGGGTCACAGCCCCCCTACTCACCATGGAGGCTCTCAGCAAAGTGCCTTTATTTGCGACACAGGTGGTTGAAAATGCAAACACACAGACAGGTAACGTGGCCGGCACGTTACAGGTTATAAAGCCATAAAGACACTCTTTAAACAAACAGGGCTCTGTTTTGATTTGGGGCTGGTTAAATATCGCAACAGTGATATTTAAAAACTGGTTAAAAACCGTTACAGCTCTGCAGGATCCCCCATCTGGGGCCTCCTTTGTTTAAATTAAGCCTGTGTGAGTACAGGGCATGGGCTGAGTGAGTGCAGGTGTGGGGTGGGCTGGGGGTCACCTGGGCAATGAACAGAACTTGGAGGAAGTGGGATATTCCTGCTGTTGTTGGAATTCCAATCCCCTGCTGATGCAGCACCAGAGTGGGACCTTGCACCACCAAGCATCACCTGCTCAGGGATGTCTCTTAGCTCAGAGACACTGCTGGACAAAATTTTGGGGTGCCTGTGGCAGTGGGTGTAGGGCTGCTGAGTGGGGGAAAGAAGCATCCTGGCTTAGAGAGAAAGGGTGAGGGGCTGGAGCCAAAGGGAACACGAGGCAGTGCTGGGAGTGGGAGAAGGAAAAGGAAGGGAGCCACAGAAGGCAGTGACCTCAACCCCTCCAGAGTTACAAAACCCCCCAAAGCTGCAAGAGATGGATGTGAAAACCACACTGACTGGTGAATGTTACCCCTAATAACAAACAGCACACACTGCCCAGCTCTAACACAGTCCATTTAAAGTAAAAAAGAGATTTAAAGTACACTTGTTGAAGCAACTGGCTGCTTCTCTGCTCCCTCTCTGGTCAGTCTCTGTTTTCATGATGTCAGGGAGGATCTCAGGGGAGGAAAAACAGGGCAACACAAAGGCACGTTGTGATTTTTAAGGTGCAAGAGTGCATCTGCTCAAACACTTCCAAATCCTCACTCAGTCACACATCTTGGCGCTTTGTTCAAATCTTTTGGCGTTTTTTCATCTCAAGAGCAACTTCCTTCACATTCCGCAGGTGTGAAGGTGAAGGTCCTTGTTCGTGGAGCAAGTTCCTCCTGCTTTGCTCTGCTGAAGGGAATTCACAACTCGTGCAGTGTCACCCTCTTTCCTTGCCAGACTTTCAGGTCGAACAGAGGTACCACACTCACAGCGTGGGGCGTCTGTAATTCACCTTTGTTCTAAACAACCCAAATTACAAGCTTTCACCATCTGCTTTGGAAGTACCTAAGAAGAAAGGTTATAAGGAAAACAAACATTCATTACTCAGGGTTATTGCTGAAAACAAAAATAATGGAGGCAACTGCTGACCTCAGAGACCGAGCGGGTAAAAGTTATCCTGAAATGTTTAAGCAAAGCCAGCAAATATGGAAACAGCTCCAGTCTTCCTGCAGCAATTTTTAAACAATAAAGATTAAATGAATAAAAAAGCAGCATTCAAAACTGGCAAAAGGAAATTAATTCATTCCTCTTTACCCAGAAAGCAGGAATGCCATTGGAAGCAGCAACAACAGCTTTCCTACAAATGATCCTTGACACTAGGGAGGAGAAATCTCTTGTACATTTAAGAGGCATCTTTTCTCCACTGCCTGTTCAGCTGTGAGTCTCCTGAAGATTCCCCAACAGCAAAGTGTTACTGTGCCCTCAGCTCTTTCTGCTTATGGCCCCCATGGCCTGTTGACTGGGAATAACAGTGAAATACCTGAGGAAATCTGTCTTAGAAAGTCCCCAATAACACCAAGACACTAATTAGAGATGGATACCTGCATTATTTACACCAATTAGACCTTTAGTCTTCCAATGGACTGGCTTCCTTTTCTTCTCTCATCTTCAGGCTCTCCTTTTCTTTACTGTTATCAAAAGAAAGGGGGGGAAAAAAGAAAAAAGAGCCCAAGTGAGTGTCAGATACCCTGAGCAGCAGGATCTGAGTCACACATGGCACAGATAAGGGATCACATGGTGAGATGGGTGTGTTACAGGTATGGTGACCACAGTGCCAGGCCCAGGGGACAAGGATCTCCTGCCAAGTACCACCACAGGGGTGAGGAGCCACTGTGAAGGGCAAGAGCCACGGGAGGACTGCAAAGCTGGTTCATCCTGGGGCTCTGCTCTGCCTGCAAACACGCAGCCAATTGCTGCTAATTGTGTTGGCAGCTTTGCATTGTAGATGCCCAGTGCAGGGGCCAAGCCAGTAATTCCCTTTGACAAGCTTTCCCAGGAGCCCTTCCCTCCCTCCTCTGTCCTTACAGTTCAGTGTCTGACGCCCCAGTCCTCTTCTCCTGCGCTTTCTGGCGTCGCTGTCGACAGATAATCACAACTAACACCACAACAACCATCAGGACAGAAGCAGATCCGACGGCCACAGCCAGGAAATGGATTTCTGAGAAACTCACTGCGTGGAGAGAGACAGGGACATGAACCAGAGGGGGACACAGGGGGCTGTGGTAGCTGGGAACCTCCATCTGTGAATAGAACCTTCCCTTAGGCTCCTTTTTTCCCCTGTATCCATTAACCACCCTCATGCTTCACACTTACAACCCTTTTTTTCTACCGTAGTTTTCCCAAACGTGGGAACTGGTGAAGCTCACAGGACCTCTGGGGGTGGTTCTTGGCCTCTCACCTTTGTGCACGACCCGGAGCCGCACCTCCCCGATGGAGCCATAAACATCTGGCCAGTTGGTCACCTGGCAGGTGAAGGTGCCGTTGTCGGTGGGCTGCAGGTTCCAGATGATGATGGAAACGTCCTTACGCTCCACATTCCCATCCCAGGTGACCCGGTCCTTGAACCGCCCCGAGGGCGGCTTGTAGGGCTCCTTCAGGTAGTAAAACACCTGCAGGGATCACAGGAACACAGAATGGCCTGGGCTGGGGGGGAACTCGGAGATTCCTGTGCCCTGCAAGTCCTGCTGGGTGCAGGGTGTCAGCTGAGACAGGGCTGAGGTGTCAGCAGGCACAAATAGTCCATCAGGCCACAAACAGTTCAACCCTGATCACCCAAAACTAAGCATGAAACGTTCTTCAGCCAGGGTCTATCAACAGACCTCATTGCTCAGATTAATGGTGACAGAGGAAAGGCCCCAGTGCCCAGAGCTGTGGCTCTCAGGTGTGTGGGTGCCCATCCCCACGCCTGGAACTGCTGCAGCCACTGGGTGCTGGGCCTTGGGACTGGTTTGTTGGGGCAAACCAGTTTGAAATGGAGAGTAAAGATCTCGACTCACCGGCTCGTGGGAGCTCAGGTCCTCGGGCTGGAAGTTCCAGGTCACCGAGAGCTGGGGGCTGACGGGGCTGCTGCTGGAGAAGGTGCATTTCAGCCGCTGGTTTGTGCCGTTCACAGCAACCACCTCCTCCGAGGTGTAAACTTCCACTGCTGCTGCCAGCCAAAGTGCTGCGGGGAAAACAGAGGGGTGACAGGCCATAATCACTGCCGAGGAGTGAGCTCATCACTGCTCCTTATCAGTGTTTAGTCTGAGCCTTATCTAGCCCTGGAAATAATTGTCTCAGGCACAGAGATAATTCCTGAATGGCTGATCCTGCAGATTTCTGGGGAAAATCAGTCCTCCCATTAAAACTGGACTGCTGAGACCCCGTAAACAATGGCTATTTCCCATGCTAGAACTTTCTTTATACACTTTGTACTCTCAGCATCATACACGCTGAAAACTGCTCTTACTGATGGAGGAAGGGCCTGTTAGAGGGTTAACAGCCCAGCTGGACAACTGCGGTCAAATACAGTCGGGCTGATGAACTCTAGAGGAAATCCTCAAGGTAAATGTGTCAAAGACACATCCTCTGTTAACCAAACCACCACAGCTGCTGCTTCAAAAATAACTGAGCATCGCTGGCCGGATGGTGCCCTGAGAGAGGGACAATCAGCAAGGCACAGAAAGGAGGCAAACGAAAAATAGGAAAACCAAAGGAGTTCTGGTGAAAAATAAAAAAATTATTAATCATTTCCTGTCACTTTAGGAAGTTAACTTGCCCCAGTATGATCCAAGCCAAAAAAGCTTATCTAAGGTTGTAAAATCTGGCTGTATAATGAAGACGTATGTGAAAGTAATTTATAACCAAAGACTTCCTTCCGAATAATCTCTTATCTCAGAGGGGAAAATATTTTGAAAACATTGAAAGTATTCGCATTTGAAAAGCTTCGCTGGCAGAGATCATGTTTCTCATCCAAAGATTAAGTGCCAAGTATTTCTCCTCCAAAGATTAAGTGCCAAATCTTTTAAACTCCTTTAAAAAAGAAAAACTGTGGGAAATAAGTCTAAAGTACTTTTTTTCAAGACAGATTACATCCGTGAGCTGAGGTATTCTTAAAATCCAGTGTTCTGATATAAACCACTGAAAACTCAAGCGAGTTTATTGTCAGTCTGGAATTGTTGCTGTGTAAAGGATCCGAACTCGGGGCTCCTGAACAATCTCTGATTGTTTAGGAACAAAGGTAGAAAAAAAAAAAAAAAAATCCTTGGACTAAAGTTCAGATTCCCGGCAGGAGAGAAAAAGACGTCGTAACCCGAGCTCAGAAGGAGCTCAAACACGCCTAAACCTGTCCGAGGAGAAACTCAACCACTTCGTGTCACTGCCAGCGAACCCCGGAGAGAGAGAACCGCAGCACCAGGACGGGAGGAAAGTCTCTGCCTTGGTGACAATGTAAAGGATGGGAAGAGGAGAGGCAGGAGGGCAGCGAGGCCAGGCAGGGCAGGTTTCCTTTCCTTACCTGGGAGCTGCGCCCCAAGGACGAGCACAGCACCCGCCCAGGCGCGGCCGCGCATCGGGGACACCCGTCCGTGCTCCCGTGCCAAGAGAAATTCCCTTCTGCTTCTCGAAAACTGGGTGGAGGGTGAGTTTCTCAAAGTCTTCCCAGCACGGCAAGGCCAATTCCTTCCTCCCAGCTTGGCCTGCAAGGCCAAGAGTGCTCCGAGTGCTCTCAGTGCTGGAGTCAGCACTCCCTGCCCGGGCACCGTGGGAAGGTGCGGCAGCACCGGGCACTTCTGGGTGTAAAACAGGGAGATTCTCAGGGTAAGATTAATTTATTCTCCCTCCCATATTCCTTTGCTCTTTTGTGTTGCAATCTTTCCTCCTCCCAGCTTCCACCTGAAACCACTCCCCTCCTGTGGGAGGTAGCTGTGCTCCTAAAAGAAAATTTGCCTGGAGGTGTTTGTAGATGACTCAAAGGAACAAGGGCCAGGGCCGTTTGTTTGGCAAAAAAACCCAAACCTGCAAAGAGTCCAAAAAGAGCAACCCAAACCAGATGGGCACAAATCCAGAGGATGGAAGTGTCCCACCAGAACACAGACACCTACAGTACAGCACAGAGAATCTTGTGCCTGCTAACGTGCCTCTGCTAATGGCTCTGAGGTACCAAGTATCTCTATTTTCACAGGAATAATTTGGCCCTGTATTAACCCTTCATCACTGCATCTCCCCAGATTTCCATTCAGTTACCATTCCAAAACATCATCTCCTTCTCTTTCATGGCCACCCTGGATAAATATCAGGCTGGGGGGTTGTTCTGCTTGTGTTTAAAGCACTGCAAGGCGGCTCCTTAGCAGCCAATTTGCAGCCACTTCCTATTTCTGCACAGGACTGGGGAGAGGGTCTGCTCCCATCTCTACTTGCAGACTTTCAATAATCTTCATCTTGTGTCAAACGTGTCCCTCTCACGCTCACTAGTAACCTGAATTATCTGATGTTTCATTTTGAAACTGAAATAACTAAAAGAAAGCTCTGACAACCAAAGAGAGCACCCAATAAATGAAACAGGGCCCACGACACTGGGATTGGCCATGTCAGTAAATGGTGAATTCCTGGGAAGGAGTGAGATGCCAGCTCCATCCTCCAGGCGTCTGGGAAGGAGTCCCTTGAGGTGTGTGCCCGGTGCAGAACGCGGAGAGCCCTGTGGAAGGAGAGAGATTTGGATGACTTGGAATGTCTGCCCTGGGCCTGTGCCCCCAAATCCCCACGATTCTCACCACCCTGGAGCAGCTCTGCCTCCTCTGTGGGCTTGGAGCAGAGGGAGCTGGGCAGGCATTCCCACTGTGTCCGTGCCAGCATCCCTGCTGGAAAGGGAAATTCCTTCGGGTTCTGGGTCATGAGATGAAAGATGAGTTTGTCAAAATCTTCCCAGCGCAGCAGAGGAGCTCTGAGACCCCCCTGCCCCGGTGCCACGGGCGGTCTGTGCCTGCCCCCAGCCTGGGTTTGGAGGGATCGTCCCCTCTGCGCCGTCCTGGCCGGGGCAGGAGCCCCCTCTAGTGGGGCCAGGCCACTTCCACGCGGGAAGAGAGGAGGTTTAGATAGATATTAGGAAGAAATTCCTCCCTGGGAGGGTGGTGAGGCCCTGGGGAAGCTGTGGCTGCCTCATCCCTGGAAGTGTCCAAGGCCAGGCTGGACAGGGCTTGGAGCAGCCTGGGCTAGTGGAAGCTGTCCCTGCCCATGGCAGGGGGTAGAACTGGACAGTCTTTACAGTCCCTTCCAACCCAAACCATTCCATGGTTCTTTGTGAAGCTGTTTGCAGCAGCCTGAACTCCAGAGACACTCACTCCCAAAAGCTGCCAGGAAGGTCCTGACGGCAAATCTAATCCCCTCGTTCCTCCTGCTGCTCCCAGGGCAGCTGCAAGAGCTGCCCCGAGGCTTGGCCAGGCTGGTTGCAGAGCAGCCACCCCTCACTGTCACAGTGACGTCCCGTGCAGACCTTTTGAGCCTCTGCACTTCCTGACCTGGGCTCATTTCCCCACACGTGCCCCGGGGCTGCCTCAGCTGCTCGCTCGTGTCCCTGGGGACAATTCTGGGAAAGGATCCTGGGCCTCTTTCCTGTAACAGGGCCTTGAAGAGCCACCGTGCCCCATCGTGCCCCGCAGCGATGCCCGTGTGATGTGGTAGAGAAGAGCAAGACAAGGAGGGACACAAGGATGAGGTTGGAGCTGTCCTGGCCCCTCCTGGGGCTCCTGCTCTGGGCAGGTGAGTCTCCAAACTTCAGGCACCAGGGTTGGATCTCCAAGCTTCAGGCACCAGGGTTGGAGCTTCGGGCAGTGCGATCTCTGAGGTTCTGTTGTCTTAGTTTTATTTTTATGCTTTGTCCATGCACTTTTCTTAAACCATTTCGTGATCGCGGGTAACTACCTCAGTTCAGACTGGGTGGGATATCCCTGTGTGGTAGGAATTTCCACCTTACCAGTTTGAATGGAGCAGCTGCTTTAGGATGAAGTGCAGAGGGTCTGTAAAGACTCTAAAAAAAGCAGGTAACAATGAGATACGTTAGAAAGATAATTACTTGAGACATACTACAATAAAACTACAACTACTCTGACAATGTGCTGCAAATACCAACTGCTAACCTTTGGGAAGGTAGAAAACATCTGGTTTAGCAATGGCCTGTTCTTTTTTCAAATTTAAATTCATCCATCTAAAGAAAAAAGCATCAGATCACCTCCTCTCAGCCAAGTCCTTTGTCTGTGGCATTTCAAATCTACAATTATTTATTTACCTTACTTTCTGTTGACAAACGTGTTTAAAGGAAATCACAAACCTGATCCACACCTCCTAACAATGGTTTCTTTAATATTCCAGCTCCAGAGACTCCCATGGAGCTGGTTGTTTCCTACAGGACAGAAAAATCACCTAAATAAACTGTTTTACAGTGTTAAATCAAGGGTCAGAGTCCCACCCTCCAGTGAATTCACAGGGTTCTTACTGCAGAAACCAGGGAGGATTTTCCAGCAGTCTTTGCTCCATGATAATAAAGCACAGTTTGGGGGTGTACAGCTTGCAATAAGAACCCTTTTTCTAAACTGGGTCGGAAAATGATTCAAGTTTCCATTCTGTGTTAGTCTGTGTTAAAAATGGCTTCCAAGGGAAAAGGCTTAATTTCAAAACAACATCCTGTCCCACAAACAGAATATTTCTGCTGCCTTTAGCATGAATACAGGATCATAAACACCTCTTTCAAGCAGCTGAGTTCAGAAAGGATACCATGAAAGTAGGAAAGGTGCATGATATCAGTAGCTAAACTCAACTACTTAACACTTCTTATTCTTTCTTTTGTAGTTGGCACCACAGCTCAGCAGGGTAACTGTATTTTACCATTGTTCTTAACTACTTAGTAGTTAAAGACCAAATACCCCTCACAAGGGAGGACTAAAAGTCAAATAAAAATATTTGAATTTTGAGAACATTGTAGAATAGGAAAAATTCGCTGTTCATTAGTTGATAGTGATCTCACTGATGGAAAAATTGGCTGTCATAAATTGCCCTTAATTAGTACCAGTGGTCCCCAAGCAGGGCTGGGTTTTTTCAACAGCAACAAGCACTCATTATTTTAACACTCCTTATTCTCTTTGCAGGTGAAGCACAGGAGGGTAAATGAATTTTACCAACATTCTTAACTATATGACATAAAGTCTGCAGGAGCCTCAGGGCTGAGGACTAATAACTGGATGGAAATATTTGAGTTTTCCCCTTGGTTTCCTCTCTCATAGGCCTGTCTGCCAGTGAAGAATTCCTGGTGGAGATTTCGGGCACCACGGTGACAATCACGTGTCCCTTGACCGAAGATGATGTAAAGTGGAAGTCAACTGAGGGAACAACAGACCCCAGCAACGTGAGGAAGCACATTATAACAGACCACAAGAGCTCTCCCATCAACCTGAGCTGTTCTTCTGCCTCCAGTGGGACGAGCCATGAGCTGTACCTGAATGCCAGAGGTGAGAGAAACTCCCTCAGCCCATGGGCCAAAGCCTGCGTGGATCACATTAAATACTTAAAGGCATCTCAAATGGCACCAGACACCTGCATTTAGACAACCAAATCTTCTGGTTCCACTGTATATTTGAGTCTCCTGGACCACTGTTTTCCTAAGGGGAATTCCCCATCAGCCGGCTGGGAGGGAAAGGCACTGCCCAGCAGTTTGTGCTGGGAATTGTGCTGCTCTTCAAAACAAAGAGAGAAAACATGCCAACAAATTAAAAACAGAGCACAAACAGTGAGGAAAAATAAACATTGAGTGGAAGAGATTACCTGAAAACATAGTAAATTCTTCAGCACTTGGTGCTTTTACGGGAAGACCACTCTTCCTTCTGACACACCGAGGGTGAATGTGGTGCTGCTGAGGCCCTTCCCGATCTGTGAGGGTCTGAGAGCCCATTTTTGGCAAAAGGAATCTCCCCTTTCCTTTCTGCTTGCTCTTTTCTCCTTGCCACCCAGAGCTGTGTCTCTCTGCCAGCACCCAGCAGATGAGGGGGGGCCTGGGCTTTTCCTGCTGGGAGGGAAGGCAGCCCAGCTCTGAGCATCTCCACCTCTCCTCCTGGCAGTGTGTGCCAACTGCGAGGAGCTGGATGCCCTGACGGTCACAGGGATCATCGCTGCAGATCTCCTCATCACCCTGGGGGTGCTGATCCTGGTCTACTACTTCAGCAAAGGCAGGAAGGGGCGAGCAAGCCCCGGTCCTGCCTCTCGGCCACGAGGTAAGAGCATTTTCAGGCATCTCTGCTCTCCGTGGTGGCCACTGGGCACTACATAAAGCATCCTCTGCTCTCCCTGAGCTTCCAAGACCTCACCAAACAACCTCCTGCTTCCCACACCTGCCTTTGTTCATGGGATGGGAGCAGCTGCTTTGCCAAGTCTCCTGCCCATAAGAACCCGTTTCCCTGCTGTGCTGGAGCCAAACCCTGCACGGCAGATGCTCCTGGCAGCAGTTGGCTCTTTGAAAGCTCCAAGCTCATAATAAAGCCATGCAAGTTGACCTGTGGGTTCATGGCATTGCCCTGGAATCATTGTGGAAGTCCCTCGTGCTGTGTTACCTGAATCATCCCAGGGATCACCTCTCTGTGCCTCTGTTGCAGGTCAGAAGATGCAGCGTCCTCCCCCCGTTCCCAACCCGGACTATGAGGTATGGAGTGTTTTCCATCTCTCTGCTGGCTGGGGAGGGAGAGCAAGGTCTGGGAATTGGTAGCATTTGTCCTTTGGCAAAGCATCCAGTCAAGCTCCAAGCTCCCACAGGACTGGAGGAAAAGAGGTGTTGAGGGTGGAGCGCCTTCTCCTGGTGCTGCCACAGGGATCTGGGAGCAGAAGTGCAGCTCCCTGTGCTCTGCACACACCACACAGCAGTGCTGCACCTGCTCTGCTGTGTTTTCCCCAATGTGTTGCGTGGACTAAGATAAGGATTCCCAAACTAACATCTTTTTCCATCCCACAGCCCATCCGGAAAGGCCAGCGGGAAGTGTATGCAGGCCTGGAATCCAGGGGGTTCTGAAATTCCCAGGATGACAGGCTGGAAGCCATGGAAGCAGCAGCATAAGGGCTAAATGCTTCTGCCCAGCTCAGTGCCAGCTCTGCAGCTCTGCTGAGGCATTTTGGGGTCAGCCAGGTCAGGCACCCGCTGTCCCACCCTGGGGTGTGCTTTGGTTTGACACCAGGGAACAGAAACCTGCATTGGCAAGGGAAGTTTTCCTCCCCATTAAAGGACTGCAGCCTCACTCCTGGTTCCTGGCCTCCTTTTCACTCACACTCTCTGCTCCAGTTGCATGCTCTGGTTGTCCCTTCCATTTAATTTCTGCCCTGAGTGCCTCCCCTTCCCTCCAGTGCCTCCCTGGGCAGAGCGGGTCCTTCAGAGTGGCTGCCCTCTGACCTTGTCTAGATCTCATGTTCACAGCCTTATCTTCATTTGCTGCCTGGGACTGTAGCAAAAGGAGCAGAGGCATCATTATATTAAAACCAAAATGGCCCAGCAGCAGTGGGACAGGTTGAGAAGGGCCTGAGAGATGCTGTGGTGCCTGGGAACGTTTCTGGGCTGACACCAGAGCCACCCACGGGGCTGTTACCAGCAGAGCAGCAGCTCTGAGGAAAGGAAACAGCAGCAGTGATGGGGGCTGGGGGTGGTTTAACCCTTGAGTTTCAGTGTGGGGAGATAAACACCCAGCTCAGCCCCAGGATGCGGTTTGAGAGGCACAGCTGGGGTTACCATACAAGGCTCTGAGCAGCGAGCAGGGAGATGGAGAGATACGAGGAGCACTAACCCCCAGCAGCTCTGAAACCACTCTGGGCCACGTTCTCACCTCCTGCAAAACAGCCCTGCTCCAGGGGTGCCTGCTCAGCCCAGCCACGCAGCCCATTCCTCAGGTGGGATGGGAGAAGCCTGGACCACTCTGGGCGTGCAAGGTCTAAATTTTTGCTTCAGGCTCCACCCCGGTGCTTCTGCCACTGTTTGTGGGGTGCATAAATGTACAGGTTTGCCCCGTGTTTGCCCCAGCCAGTGCCATCCCACACACTCCTTATCTCAGTGGGATCAGCACCCACCCAGTGGCAACATCTCTCTGCCTCTGTGCTTACCTGCACTGGAGAGATATTTCTTTGTCCTTCCCAGGGTGAGGTGCTGAGGAGCCTCTCGCAGTCTGGCTCTTGGATTTGTGCTTCTCCTGCTCCTTGGGTGAGGTTAGCCACCTTTGCCCATTGCTTTGAGACCTGATGGTGGTGAAAGAGCTACAGACTAGGCAGTCTGCTGGTCACTTTTTTAATGAAGTCCTACCCAGATGGCTTTGCAGGTAACAGGCAGGTGTTGGCATAGTCTACCTGCAACGGCCACATGGGCCGACCCTTCACTGGAGCAGAAAAACCACTAAGACATTATTCTGCTCCTCTGAAGAGCAAAATGTTGCCGTGTAAGGACCCAACACTGTAGGAAAACAGGTCCTTTCCTTGCTCACTGCCCACAAGGCTGATCACACCCTTGTGATCAGGGCACCCACAGCTCTGCACAGACGGCATGTTGTTGCTGGGTCACAGATTTGTGGCCAGTTTTTACTGAGTGTTACCTCTTTGCTTCCTTTATACCCCTGAACACTGGGTTGCTTGAGTCACAGGGCACTTCTCAGCCTGGTCCTCCCTAAAGCCTGGCACCCAGATTCCGAGAAAAGCAGGAAAACAACCTACAGGTGTGTGCAACTGGCACGGGGGGGGGTGACCGGGTTTCTGAGGTTTCCAACTGCTGGCTGGTCCTGGCTGGTGTCTGCTCCCATTTTGACCACACTCAGACCACACTGGCTGTTCCTGCTCGGAGCTGGGGAGCACCAGTGTGCACCTTCCCAGGACCAGATCCCATCCAGTGTGCACCTTCCCAGACTCCAGATCCCATCCCACGTGCGCCTTCCCAGCATCCAGATCCCATGAAATGTGCAACTTCCCAGTGATCAGATCCCATCCAGTGTGCACCTTCCCCAGGGCCCTCGACAGAAGGGACAGAGCAGGGAGGCTGTGGGACAGGCTCATCTTTAATGAGAGGAATACAGAAGTGCAGGAGGTCATGGAATGAGCACAGTGCTACAAGCAGCCCAGCCTGGCACGGAGCAGGAGGGATGTCCAGGCAAAGCCTGTGTGCTGATGGAGTCACAGGCTCCAGAGTGTCCCCACCTCACTTGCGGGCCCGGGCGGGTGCCAGCCGGCTGTACTGCTCATCCTCCCGCTCTCCGAGGGGCTGCAGGGGAAAAAAAGGGGGAGATGAGCTCCAACCATGTCTGTCCAGCCCTGAGAGGGGCAGCTGGCCCAGCCCTCTCTTTGCCAAGCCTTTCCCAAGTGTCCCTCCCCACACACAGAGCTTAACACACACAGTAAGAGACGAGGTAGCTGAGCTTGCCCCGTCCTCTGGGGACAGGCAGCTGCCCCATCAGAGAGCAATATCCACCTCCAGGCATCGATTATCCCCCAGCAGACGTGTCCCCATGGACCCACAGTGTACAGAGGTGCTGAAGGTCCCCCCATACACACACAGGTGTGTACCCACACTCACCTGGTAGAGCTGGTCGTTGGCAATCAGGTTCTGCCTGTCAGAGGCTAAATGGAGAAAGGAGGCGGTCAGGGATCAGGGGAGCCACGGGCAGCGTGGTGCCTTTAAAACCAAACCCATCTGCAGCCCCTGGGGGTGCCCAGGCCCTGTCCCCCCTCACCTCGTGACGTGTGTCCCCTATCATGGCCAGTGACACAGTACACGGCCACTGCCAGCAGCGCCGTGGCCACGACGTCCGCGATCACGATCCCCGAGACGGTGGCAGCGTCCACCTCGATGCAGTTCTGGCACACTGGAAGCACAAAGGGACACGGACAGGCTCCAGTCCCAGGCCAAGAGAGACCTGGGATTGAGTTTGGCCTCTTGTGTGACCCGGGGCAGTGGCACAAGCTGCCGTGTGTCCCCCGGCACCCAGCGCAGGGCCGGAGAGAGGCCAGCAGTGCATCAGTCATGGCTCTAACTGGGGCTCTCATGGGGACACCACTGACAGGGGAACCTGCAGCAAACTGGGGGAGACACCCACAGACTCTGGGAAACCGGTAGTTCCCTCCAAAATTTTCCGGGGTGAAAACTCGAGGCAGTTCTGGCTCTAGAAAGCAGAGGTACAGCACCTACTTCGATAGTGCACCTGGAGCTTCCACTCTGTTGTCTCTCCTGCTCGACACGTGTAGAGGCCTCTGGGATCATCGTAAACTCCACCCAGCTCCAGCTGAGTTCCGTTTCCAAGCTCGTTCCCATCTTTCCACCACATAACTTGACTTTGTTCAGCTGCTGGACATTCCAAGAACACCTTCCCACTGACTTCTTTCACAATTATTTTAGCTTCTGTACCAAAAAAGAAAAAAGAAGAGAGAGAGCAGAGAGTTCACCGCTGAGTTATCAACCCTCACAGTGGTGCAGAACTCAGAGCTCCTTCATGGAGATGCTCAGGCTGTCCCTGAGCAGCAGAAAGGCCACCACAAACAAAAACCTCTGGGGAAAGCAGACTGTGTCGTTGCAAGGCAGTAACAGTAACAGAGGCAGCTCCAGGCTGTCACAGCAATGGTCTAGGGCAGGCAGAGCTGGCAGTGATCCCATCCTCACTGCACCCATTCCCTTTTCCCCATGGACATTTGGAACCTCACATCCAGGTGGAAAGCCCCACCAAGCCGTGGGGCTCCTTCCCAGCACCCTCCCAGCACCCCAGACACCCCGGAGCATCTCCAGGGACCACGGCGAGTGCCCAACTGCCCCGAGACCCAGTGACTCACCTTTGTCACCCCAGCTGGGCACAGCCAGGCTGGCCAGCACTGCCCAGACACCCAGGGCCCTTCCCCTCCACATGGCACAGAGGTGGCGGTTCTGTCCCCTGCTCAGAGAGCTCCTCACCACAACTGCACCACTGGCCCCAGATCTGCGTCAGGTGCCGGATGCCGGGGGCTGGAGCCTCCCTCCCCCGGCAGCTGGGGATGGCTGAGGTGCTCTGAGCCTGCCTCCTCACCCCAGCCCGGCCTGGCAGCCCTGGGAGGGCAGGGGAGGGCAGCTGGGGCTGAGGTGGTGGGTTCCCAGCAGCCACGGACCCCCCAAGACATCCAGCAGCCAGGGAGCCTCCTGCAGCCAAGGGTCTGTTCACGGCCATGGACCCCCAGGAGCCAGGGGTCCCCCCAAAGCCCCCACCATCCATGCATCCCCCACGGCATCCACCGGTCCCCTGGCAGCCACTGGTGTGCTCCCCAGCATCCACAGGTCCCCTCCACAGCCACGAAACTCTGCAGCAGCTGGGGAGACCCCAGCATTAACTTGTCTCCCGTCAGTCATTGCCCCCCAGCATCCCGTGGTGTCCTCCCAGACATAGACCTCCTGCACCCCCAAGTCCCCAGCATCCCCTGGTGCTCCCCTAACCATAGACCTCCAGCATCCACAGGTCCCGCAGCATCCCCTGGTGCTCCCCTAACCATAGACCTCCAGCATCCACAGGTCCCCCAGTAGTCACTGGTGTCCCCCCAGCTATAGAACCCCAGCAGCCACAGGTCCCCAAGCAACCATGGAGCCCCCCAGCATCCCCTGGTGTCCCCCTAACCAGAGACCTCCAACATCCGTGGAGCCCCCCAGCATCCCCTGGTGCCCCCCTAACCAGAGACCTCCAGCATTCGTGGAGCCCCCCAGCATCCCCTGGTGCCCCCTAACCAGAGAACTCCAGCATCCACAGGTCCCGCAGCATCCACTGGTGCCCCCTCCAGCCCTACAACCCCAGGACTCACTGGTGTCCCCCCAGCTACAGAACACTGCAGCACACGCGCAGACGCCAGCACCCGCACGCCCCCCAGCACCTCCGGATGGCCGCGCAGCACCCCCGGAGCCCCCCAGCCCGCACATATCCCCCGCACTCACCGCGCCCCGGCGCATCCGTCCCCCCGCAGCCTCGAACCCGCGGTCCCTCGCTGCGGCTCCGCGCCGCACTCTGGCCCGTGCCGGCCGCCGTAGTGGCACGGGGCAGCAATGGCGGCGCGCGCGGGCTCGCTGGTGGCGGCCGTGCTGGCCCACTCGGGCCGCCTCGACAAGGAGCACCTGGGCACCCGCGTCGGGAGGCTGTCCCGCCGCGTCGAGGAGCTCAAGGCAGGGCTGGGCACGGGGGGAGGCACGGGACGGGGTCACACGGCGGGGAGCGGGGCCGGCGCGGCCGAGGAACCGGTGCGCACCGGGGTGT